ATCCATCCATCCATCCATCCATCCATCTATCCATCCATCCATTTTCTCCTGCTTAGTCCTTGTCAGGCTCGCAGTGGGGGCGCTGCCTACCTCCAGCAGTCTATGGGTGAGAGGTGGGGTACAACCTGGAGAGGTCGCCTAGCAACACATAGACACACAAAGACTTACAACTATGCCCACACACACAGGACTATTTAGAGAAGCCAATTAACCTAACAGTCATGTTTTTGGACTGTGGGAGGAAGATGGAGTACCTGGAGAGAAGCCACACAAGTGCAGGGAGAACATGCAAACTCCATTCAGAAAGACCCCAGGTCAAGAATCAGGCCAGAACCTTCTTGCTTCAAGGCAGCAGTGCAACCAACTGCTCCTGTGTGCTGCCCTCAAGGTGATTATTGAAGAAAAACAACTTTGCAATAGCAGTTGCTCGTATTTTTGAAATTTTTTAGACTTTCACTGTGTTATTGTTTTCTTAGAAGTGGTATTAATGAACAAGAATCCCCACCTCACTGTGCTGTCTGTTGCCCTGACAGCCACCTGCTGGAAGTGTTAAGAAAGCTCTGCTCTTGTTCTTTAACACTTCTAGAAACAATCCTGGTCAACCTAAAGCTTACACTGATTCCCCAATGATTTAGGAAACTGTCCTTTCAGCAATTACATTTTGAACTTCAAGTTTCTGTCTATGACGTTGTTTAATAATTACCTTTATTAAAATGTAAATGATCAGTCCAAAGAAATTTCTCCTCAGATTTCATTCCATCTCTAACAAGCAGTGAGCAGATTGTAGCATCCAGACATTAAGGGGCCTTTAAGGGACCAGAGTAAAGGTCAGAGTCTGAAACCACCAATTTAGTGGTTTCTCCAGAATGCATCAGCCCTGCTTTCCAACCTCTCAGCCAACACAACCAGCTTAATTCTAATTTTGCTATTAGGTCTCACTGTAAAACAAGATTTCATAGTGTGCTTTTCAACATAAGATAATTCCATAAAACAATATTGTTTGTTTGTGCCCAGTTTATTCATGTGTTCTGTTCTTTATGTATTTTACAGTGGTTAATTACATTCCCTCTCATTAAGGACAGAAAAGAGATCAGCTGCCAGTAAAAGAAATTGACAAAAATAATAAGTAAAAACGCTAAGAAATGGAAATCAAGGGATTTATTTTGAATATATATATATATAAATACATGCTTATATACATACATACATACATACATACATACATACATACATACATACATACATACATACATACATACATACATACATACAT